ATGCAGAAAAATAAGGTGCAATTCAACAAATGCTGGCTTCTATCCTCAAGAATAATCAGCTGCACAAATCCAAGGAAGCAGTTTGCCAGGCAGAAAACACAGTAGGAGATGCTGAATTTGACATGAGTAAACCTTTCTAAAGACAGGCTGCAAGAGTAGCTTTAAAATTTTGTGAATTCTGGACTTCCGTAAGTTTTTGGTAGAGGCATGGAGCGGCTCTGAATTTGCATATGGATGCATGCTTCTTTTTTTAGTTGTTCTTTGGAAGGGAAAGCAGTTGCGTAAAGGAATCAGTATGGTATTCCCTAGGATAAGAAATGCTGGGTTTAAATAATACAAGGCTGTTTTGGGGTTTTATGTGCAAAATGTGGGTTTAATTGTCAAAATAGTTTAACTATGGCTGGGTGGAAATGCGAGGAAATGAGGGTGATCTGGTAGCCACATCAGGAGAAGCAAACCACTGTGAACTGAGTATTGAGTAGATTAGAAAAGCCAGACAGAACTGTCAGCCCTGAGTTTTGTACCAGTTGCCCAAAACAAGCACCAAAACTTGTTTAAAACTACATTTTCTCTAAAGCTTTCAGTAAGTTTTTTCTTCTGCTGGCAAATACCTGTGAAACCCCTGATAAAGTGTGTGCCTCATCCCCTGCCACTACTTGGCTGCCCAGGGTGTAATGTTCATAAGAGACTGATGCACAGGATGAACTGGTTAAGGATGCTTTTGGAGACTTGGATTCCACTCTTGATTCTAACATGTATTTTCTGTTAGTTGCTCACAAGTACAGACTGTAAAGAAGTTCTCTCTGACTGTTCTTCACTTTCTGGGAGCAAGATTTGCACATCTGTGATTTGCTTAAAATGTTGGTTCCTGTATGAAATACTATATAATTCTAAGTATTGCAGAAAATCACATCAGAGGTGCTTGTAGTGAGGTGAATGGAGATTTCTCACTCTGATGTTTCTATGCTTTAGTTACTGGTAAAATGAGGTAAGAACATCAGTTCTCTTCACAACAGTAGTATGAAGATAGTGTGCTAAATAATTGTGACTTAAGGAGGAAGGTAATAGGAAACTCTGAAAGAGAACTGTTGCTTCTTTGTTTAGGTCAGCCTAGTGTGCCTGTTAGGGCATCAGCTGTTAGTTGTTTGTGAGAGAATGAGTGCTGAATGAGGACTGTGAGCTCTGCACATTCACAAGGGAAAAAATGTATAAAACTTGCACAGGTAGCCATAAATCCATCACTGCCTAAATTTTGGATGCTCGGCATGGCTACTATCATAATATTCTTCTGATGTGTTCTGGGGTTTTTGGCATATGGATTGTAAACAAAGTTTATACAAATACAAAAGATTAATAAAAATAAGTGAAGATATTAAAACTTTCTACCTTTAAACAGATAAATGTGTGGAAAGCTTAAGGGAAACATGTATGGTAACAACGTAGCATAGTTTGCTTACTGTCAGTTTTCATTCCAAGAAAAACCTGCTGTCTCACTGTGTGACACTTGGTGCAAGGTTATGTAGGAATGTAAACATGACTGATGCAAGGAATGTCCTTCACATGTTCCTGTAGAGAGCATGGAGTTTGTGTGAGCAGCAGAGATCCTTCTGCAGTCTTCTGCAGGGAATGGGAAGTGCAGTGAGGAGTTGTGGGGGATGAGGAGAGGAAGCAAAGCAGAGCTTGCTCTGAGAGGAGCAGAACAGCGTTCTTTGTTGTTGGCAATACTGAAATTATTTCTTTGTCATCTCTCTTTTCTTCCCTACTTTGGTCTTTTCTTCCCCCCCTCTTTTCTCTTTCTATCTTCTCCTTCTGTTTCCTTTTACAGGAAGAGGTGGTAATGCAGTAAGGAAGGGAGAGGGGTGATTGCATTAGTGGAAATGAAGCAAGGGCAAAGTAATTCATGACTCTCAAGCTATAGAATTGACACTGTAACAGGCCTATATATACATTACAAAAACACAGGGCATGTTGCAGTCTAGTGTACAGATTACAAAGATTATGATGGGTGAAGATATCTGATGGAGAGTAATGATTTAAACTAACAGAGATGTAAATTCACTGTACACCATTTAGAAGCATGTCACCATTTGTGCCAAATGACAGAATAATCAGAATAAAGCAGTGCTATAAGGACCAATTAAGGAACATCAAATCAATGGGTATGTGACTCATGCTGATTTAAACGGGAGCTGATTGGAATAAATAGATTTAATATGTACTTTTATTCTTAGGCTATTCTGTCATAACTGGAGGAAGCAGTATGTGAGTAAGGAAGACACTGGCTTACATCTCTGATAGGAAACTAATGGGAGACATTAAATAATTTTTTTTTAAAGTCAGGATTCTGACCAGTTAAGAAATATGCTGTCTTAAGTGTGAATTTGCCTGACTGTTACTGTTTCTTAGTAAAATCATTTATCTGCCACATATTTATATAAAGACCCACACAGATTAATGGCATCATTTCTGTTTTATTTTGTATGAATTTTGAACGCCACTTAGATCTTCTTGGACTTTGAGTAGCCTAGAAAATGTACAAATCTTGTCTTCATTTTTGTTTTTCTTTTTTCCACTTGGAGTTATGTGAAGTCCTTCTACTTCTGGAGATAATAGCAAGATTTAAATGACACAGTCTTAAACTCTGCAAGAAAACTCTTGTAGGTATATTGTCTGGTCTGTAATTAGACTTTTTAATTGTATATAACCTTTATGTGCCAGATGTGTAAATATCTTGCAAGGAGCGCCTGCTGAGATGCTCCATCCTACTGAAGTGCTCCAAATCCCACCTAGAATTCTCTCTACAGAGCGGGGAAAAGGCTTGTACTTTGTGTTTCCACACAGGTTCATTCCTCTTTCAGTTGCGGTGCCGTGAGGATAAGGAAGACAGCATGGCTAGTTAAACTTCACTGCAAAGTTATACAGTTTTTCATTCATTTTCTGCTTTGTGGTTTTTCTATAATGCTGCATATTAACCAAAACACTTTCTAACATTGTCCTTAATGTCAGCTGACCATGAGTAAAAGGATGCTGGAAGGTAGAACTTGTTTTCTGAGAATTACAGTTTTGTGGTTTGGAGCTGACTTCTTATAAGACTGCTGGATAAAAAAGAAAATCTGAAAAGAACATTTTCCTAATCTCTCTTGGGGTTGCGGGGAGGGGTTGTTGGTTTGGGTTGTTGTTGTTGTTTGTTTGTTTGTTTGTTTGGGGTTTTTTAATGAAGATTGGATTCTGAAAATAAATAGTGTGGGGGACTTGGGATTACAGGGACTGTTTTCAGTTGCTTAGGAGGTTTTTTTAATGTTCTGTTACCTATCCTTACACTTGAAGAGGCATTTAATGTTTTACTGGTGGATAGATGAATTCCCCAGACAGACTTGATTGCTTTCATTTTATGAAATAGAGCTTGATTATTCCTCCACACATACTAAACCATTTTTAAGCTGTGTAGAAGCAAGGGGAATTATACTGGATGAGTAAGAGAAGAATTTGATCCACCCTGAAATGTAGCTGTATCATATTTCTTTTTGTTTGTGATTAATATGAAAAGCTACCTAGTTTGTTGCTGCTGCTCTAAATGTTCTGTAATTGATGTCTTCATCTTAATTTGTCTGGCATTAACCTCACTGTTATAGGGGAAAAGCAGAAAAAAGCTGAGTAGTGGACACCTGACACTTTGTTCAAGAAAAAGGAACTAGAAAATTTTCTCCTATTAGTTGTAGTAGTGCCTCCTGGTATGTATCACCTCCCTCCTTGGAGTCCAGAGCAGCTTTTTTCTCTTCATCCAAACTGCAGGAAAGGCCATAGCTGGAAAAGCCTTTGTTACCCACCCAAAGGGATCCTAGCAATGACAGAGAACTTGCCAGACAGGGGCCATCATCCATGAGGGATTTAGGAAAGTCAAGTTTGAAAGGAAAGAGGCTGGGGGGGCTGTGTTGAGAGGCCTTGTCCCCAGCAAAAGCAGAGGATGGAGTCCAACATTCCTGGCTCAGCTTGGCTGTTCCCTCTGCCGTGGTCTGCAGTCTCCCATCTCCTGGGGCATGGCTGGCTGGCTGGCTTTGGTAGCCTGCCGTGGACCTGGTGGCTTTGCTGTATGGCATTAACCCCTTTCACACAACTGCAGTTGATGTCTGTTTCCTGGAAGGAAGGAGGGAATATGTTACCCATCTGTGCTGTGTCTCATGTATTAAAAGTAGGCCCTGCTGCTTGAAATCCTTCTTATGCTCTGTATGTCATTCATCCATCTGCCTCCTCAAATCTTTTGTGAAATCTTAAGTGTCATAACTTACAAAAAGAAGTCTTGCTATTCTTGTATATACCATGTTATTTATTTTTATACATCTAAAGCCTGTTTAATTTTCACCTGCTTTTCAAAATAAAATGGATCATCACACTACTAACCTCACTATGCCCTCTTCCACCCCTTATTTACAATTCAGCTTGTTTTACATACTTGGTTTGTGTGCTTAGAAGAATAACTGTGACTGAATTGAAGCAGAAGAAAAAAAAACCCTCCTAAGAATCCAGTTAATCCATTGAGAAATAAGATAGTGTGCTGGTTATGCTGTCAGAGTTATGAGTGACCTGCAAATCAAAAATCTTCTGTGTGGTTGGTGTTTTAAAGCTCATATGCTAAGGAGTTGCTCTTATGTTGTGTTGAAAATCGAATTTTTAAGGTAGCTTTGATTATATTTTTGTTATATAAAAAAAATCAAAGCATGGCAAGACAAGTCAGAAGAAAATGTAGTCTCAGAAATGTAGCTTCCCTTTTGCTTCTGCAGGCCTACTTTCTAAAACAGTTTCATTGATTCATGACGATGCTTGCTGAAAAGAGAATTTCTTGCATTTTTAAAAGCCTTGAAATACATTTTCATTTTGTAATGTAAGACCTCTCATGTCAGGTGCACCTGCTTGATTTGCATGTGAATTCTGAACAATCCTTGTTTCATGTGACACTTCTGAAATGTCTGTCTGTTTTTTTTTTTTTCTTTTTAATTCTCAAGCTCACTATTTGGATAAGATAGTGAAAGGTACTGTATATTTGCTCTTTGACATGCCTTTATCTACTACTTTATCTCTATCTTGGGTTTTTTTTTTTAATATTAATATATAGTTAAAAACATAGTAGTCTGGGCAAAAGAATCTTCTCTTACATACATTCCATGGATTATATATATAACTCATATGGCTTTCAACTCATCTCAAAATTTTGCTTTTGTTGTATGGTAACACTTTATCAGTAATTATACATTTATGAACAAACTGTATACATGTATTAGATTTAATCTGAACCAATAACTGAAGATAGTATTCATTTGCTGTTTGTACCCTTTTTTTTGTTAGTTTTGTCATTGAACCTCTGCCTACAAAACCCGAAATATCAAGGAAACAAAGCCAAGTGATACTTTTGTCACAGAACGAGTGTCATTAGTTCTAAAGAACAGATCAAATATAGAGATGTGTGTGTTTATATACTGATACATCAATAGATTTCCTGAGACTTTTAAGCTTTTGATTATCTGAATGTAGAAAATCTACAGGAAATTATGACTTGTGTCTTGTATGAATCTAGAAAAATCTTTTTTAGTCTATGCAACATTTTCAATTAGGAGGTTAAAGGATGCAAAAACCTAACATGAAACAGCAAAGATTCTTTTATCTTCAGTTATGGTAAAAAATTGATTTAGAAAAATGTTTAAAATATTCCTACCCCTCTTTCCCTGAGTATCTTCCCCTATTCCTTGTGTTTTTTCATTAGAATATGGCAATATTGATGGCAATATCCAGGCTTTCACACAATAAGTCTTGAGTGTACCCAGTTGACTCCTAAATTGCTTTGTCAGTATTGCAATTATATATGTAAGTCTTTTGTAAGTCAAATAGAAGAACTGCTATGGAAAAATAGGTCTCAGTACATTAACAAATACTATTAGCAGCTGCAGTCTGAAGGAATAAAAGTAGCAAGACTAATTTCAGCCTGGCATGATGGCACATCCATAACTGTAGCATACCCATCCTTCCTCACAAGAAGTTTTCCTGATTCTCTGCCTTCTATGAGTGATTTGACAAGAGTTAAGCACCCTTTATAACTTTTTTCTGTATCTTTGTAATTTGGAGCTACAAGGTTGAAAGGAGTCAGTAAATTCAAAATTCTTTAGAAGAAAAAAGCAACTTGCTTCTGAAAAACCACTCTAAGCTTAAACAAAATGGATCAGTAGGTTAGTTGACAGAGATAGGTGCTCTAAAAAGTGAAGAATTGTTTACCCAGTTATTTAGGGTTTTTGGATGCAAGTTTACAGAGAATTGTTGTTTCCAGAAATATCTGATTTGTAGCTGCTTCTCATAAGAGAGTTAGTGCCATATCTGTACTTGCTTCTGTCAGTGTCTTATCACAGTCATAGATAAGGAGCACTGAAATCTACATATTTATAGTGTTGTCATTCTCATACAGATCATGTTGGCTGCATGCCAGATTTCATCACTAGGAAGTGACAGATACTGTTTTTTTTTAATGCAATGTTAGACTGAAAACAATTATCGATTTTGGATATATTAAATTATGTTAATTGTTTCCCAAATTTTCCCTCCTTGGCCATAAAAGCAGACAAGATAGGATATAAAGGTAACAGCACAAAAGCCTTAGGGAGATTGTCACAAAAAATCACTCTCTGCTATCTGTCTTGAAGCACGTCACTACCGTGTTTTTGTTCAGTCTATCAATGTTTATTGTGGTCCTTATGGTATTTCATTTTGTCCGTCCTAAGTAATCAAATACGCACAGCTATTACATTGAGTTGGAAATCCTGTTGGTCCTGTCCCATCCGTATGCAGCCTGAATCCTAATGTTTGTTAGAATAGATGCTAAGCTGCTTCACTATTCCTGGGCTTTGCTTATTCTGTGAAAAGGAATGTATTTTTGGCATAAAGTATAGTCATTAAAACTGGCCTATACTTTGTGCAATTATTTAACACACTGTAATTTCACATGAATACACGGCAACTCTGAGACCAGATAAAGTTAACCTTCTCTTTTATTACTTGCCTAAATCATACCCATTTTCCTGCTTAAGAATTTGGAGGGATTTGTTCATAGTAACAGGGAGATTAATCATTGGTGCCAGTAATTAATCAATACTGCATAGAGCAAATAATGATCTATTCTATGAGCACAGAAAGATGTATCATTTTACACAGCTGTGTTTGCACTATGCACTCATCTCTTTTTACTTTGAAAAGAAAAATTAAAAAACCAAACTTAATTTTGTCTGGCCTGCAGGTATTTAGAGGATTGGTGCATTTATTTCCTGCCTGTACAGGTAAGTGGTGTCTCAAGTGTCAGGCCAATCAAAGATGCCACTTTGTTAAGAATTATGTTCCCCAGGTAATGTTGCTGTTCTGCTCCATGTGCAATTACAGTATTTGTGCTGTTCTTAAGGCCTGTTCCCAGTAAGTGTCCCTTGTTTGTATTTTCTTTTCTTTTTATATTGTTGCAATATTTAAATCACTTGTGCTTTTTCTTTGTCTGTTTCAACAGAGGGCTGCCCTGGTTTGTGCAACAGCAATGGGAGATGCACACTGGACCAGAATGGCTGGCACTGTGTCTGCCAGCCAGGATGGAGGGGAGCGGGCTGTGACGTAGCCATGGAAACTCTCTGCACTGACAGTAAGGACAATGAAGGAGGTAAGAGACACCAAGTGCATCTTTAGCTCTGGGGAGAACATGTTGAGGAACAGGGATTTTTCAGTCAGGTGATTAAATGCTGCCATGAGAACCATACACGCATTTGACTCACTCTTATGTCTGTAAGGATATGCCATGGTCTTCAGTGCTTCTTTATGGCATATCAGCAAGGCCTAACAAGCTGTGTGTGACAGGTCAGATGTGTACTTAGAGAAAAATAGGTGTCACCTTTGTTTCCCTGCAGTGTTCTTTTATACTGGAAAAAAACATATACTGAAAACTTTTATACTGAAAAAAAAAAGGAAGGAGTTCAGAATTTCAGTGACCTCACAAGGAAATTATCCCAAGAGAATAGGCCAAATTGGGGGTTCACTTTGAACTATGATGCAATTGCTGGAAAGAATTGGTTACCCAGCCTACAGAGATCTTACCTCTCTATAGCTTTTGGATGTTCATATAACTGACAGGATGCTCCCAGAAGTCTTTCTTCCTTTTTTTCTTTTTGGCTTACTTTTCCATAGTCTGTCATTCAGGTGACAGGTAACAATCTGCAGCGAGATGCAAGCAGGATTGCTAGCCTAAGGAATCAATCTGTGGTTATTGTTGTAGTCTAGGGAAGCTGGAGGGGCTGTGACTTAGCATGATTCCAGAATCACGTAAAAAAGCCCACAAAAACAAGATTTAATGTGAATGCACTCCAAGATTAGATTAGCATAATGCTTTTATTGTCTGTCTTTCTTCCCCTTCTCTCATCAATTCTTTTTGCTTAACACCTTCAGATTCAGAGAAGAGATAAAAACTCCATTAGGGCTTCTGGATGATGATCAAGTCATCTGGGACTTTGTCTTTCTGTTTTCAACTGTGTATGTCTCTGCAATTGCTGATTGACTCTTTGCTCTCCTGTCCCTACTGCAACTGGGATCTTACACATCACAAACTATAAATAACACCAGCATTTACTTCCTGAAGAAAATAAGTAACATGGTTAAAACTGTGCTGCTGTTTATTACTGTACACATCATTTGGCTTGTCATCCTTCTCCATTATGTATTACATATTTTGAGGCAGTTTTCCATACTTAGGGGCCTAAACAGTCTGACCCGGGTTCCAGCAGAAATGTGCTTGTTTGGGGAATTAACTTCAGGTGGGCCAAGGACTTAACAAGATAAGGATAAAAGAGAAACCTGCAAAAATGAAGCGAGGAGGAGAAGAAACTAGGTGGAAGTATAAACAACCTGGAGAAAACAAGAGATTATGTAGGGGGAGAAAAAGGGAAAATACATTAAAAGTCCAATAGTAGACTAAAACAGATTCAATAAATGTTAAAGATCATATAAGGATGTGACATATGGCAGCAAGAGCCAGGAGTGGGTATGGAGCAGTAGGAGAAAGAAGGACAGGGTGAACAGGAATGCCTGTAAATGGAGCAAGAGAAAAGAAGTTGCTCCTTCAGACTGAAAACAATAATAGCTTTTTGGGGGAAAAGGAACAAGGAATTGGAGCAGAACAATCTTAACAGGATGAGTTAAAGACAGAAGAATGATTTTGAGGAAAAAATAGCTAATGCTGATAGTTTGTTGCCTTTTTCTCTCTCTCATTTCCTTTTTTCATATTGCCTTTATGGACATCATTATACAGCTATGCATGAGGAAGGGGGTTTCCAGGCTCTTGTTTTGCTCTGGTTGGCCTGTATAATGCTATTTGTCAGTGGCATTTATCTCAGTTTATATGCTTCAATACAGTGTGTATTCACTTCAGTCTTTAACTGTGGCTGAGAAGAAGGGTTAAAATTCAACAAATCAAATTAAAAATGGAAGTATCCCTAACAAAACTAGGGAAAGAAAGTCTCCTTTGTAAGCTACCTGGAAAGAGAAGAAGTACTACTTCCCTTTCCTGCAATCAACCCACTAATCTCCCAGCAAGCCATTAAAATTTCAGACAGCTACAGGGAATGGCACAAGTATTCTTCTGCTGTATTTGTTTATCATGGGAGATTAGGTTATCTGAGCCCTTGTGCTGAATTTATAGTGTGGCTGCGGGTAGTGTGATCTACATCTCACAAGGCTCGGTGGTTACATAATTAAAGTTATCTCAGTTGTTGTCTGTTTGATATGCTGTGGTTAGTGTTTATGCTTTATCCTACACTGGGTAGAATATATTTCATATATTAATATCAGCACAGTTCATTTATAAAAGTGTCTGCTGTTCCTTTGATTCTTTGCTCTTTCTGGGACTGATTATTCAAATTCTGTGAACATAAGCTTCCTAAGGATCCCAGTGGGAATATTCTCCATAGGAAATCCTAATGGCATCAAGGCATACCTGAGTATTTTCCCTTCTAGATATTATTGACATATGATGGGATGATTATTGCTTATCTTCCTTTCAATGCAGGTTTTTCAGAGTCTTGGAAATAATTTCTGTTCTCATTAAGGCTCACTCTTTATTTTCCCCTGTGTTTGACTTGATTTTTCTTTACATTTTAGCATCCCACAAGGAAAGTGTGCATCAAGCAGATCTTAGCCTGAATTAAACTCCTAATGACTTTGTGAGGAGGGGGAAGTCAGAGCTGTCTGTGGGTGGAATACGCCTGTCTTCTTGGGGAAAAAAGGTGGCACTATTATACTTGAACAAAGTGGGCCATGCTTTGCTATCACTGCAGAAAGAATAAGAAACAGGAAGAGTGGCTGTTTACTCTTTAGTTTAGATGGGTCCTTATTGAACAGACTCCTTAGTTAAGTTTGCATTTTATTAGCTCCTGTCCAATTATTTGCAGTAGTTACAGGTTTCCACAAGCAAGATTTAAGGGAACGTTAATATTCTTTCTTTGCTGAAATTAAAATAAGTACTGTAATAAAGCAAAGCATACTTAGCACTACTGTATTTTTTTAATTACTTGCATAGTCTAGGACAGCCTGTTTCTGGAAATGTCACAGGATAGTACAAATTCAGCCTAAAGGTTGTCTAAACCAGGGCCTCCTCTCTGATAGTGGCTAATAGCTGTTGCTTAGCAAAACATTGTGATAGGGTCGATGTGAACTTGCATTTTCGTTTGTATGCTAACAGGCTGCGAATTAAAGTGAGGAATTACTGCCACAGGACGTTTTCAATATCAGAAGAGTTGCTAAGTGCAAAGAAAACCCAAACTAAGGAAATCTCAGGAACCATCTACTTGAACTAGGAGTGATACTGTGGCATGCTCAGATTCTCTGGCTTGTGCTCTGACACTTCCCATTATTCTTCAGCTTTTTGATTGCATCTGTGGTAGCTGGTGAATGCTGGGTTCATATATCATGGGACTTATCCACAGTGCTTCCAAGATTTCTTTCTGGAATGAGAACTCACTTGGAGCCTCACAATTCATATTTGAATTGTGCAAAGCTGAATTCCAGTGCTTGCACACTGTTCTGGAATAAATCAAGGGCTGTTTGTACTTTTCTGGCTTTTCTGACCAGCTGTTCCTATAAGCAGTCATTTTAATGTCTATGATTGAGTCCATTCAATATAGCCTGTTGCCAAACTGAGGTATGTAAGGATAACTGAGATTTGGTTATACAGTTTTCTTTCCTTTCCTGTCTCTTGCCTTGGTTTGGCAGTCACCAAAATTGTCCTGGTGGAATGGCCAGCATCATAATTCCAAAACTATATTCTTCCTATGTAGGCACTGAATTTCACTCTATGGAGATTTTTGTTGCCTAAATATTTAATCAACTATAATCAACAACAACCAAGAATAGGATTTATGTAGGTCCTTGACTACCATCTCCCCTTGACACTGGCAGATCTTTTGCCCAGGACTTACTTTGTCCCTCTACTTTTCTTCCTTCCAGCAGTTTTATTCCATTCAAAAGCAAGCCGTCCCACTGATACATCTTATTTTACAGACACATATTGTGGGGATCCTCTGTCTTGATTCCTCTCATTTAATCACATAAAGAGAGCATGGAGAAGAGAAAGGTTGGGTTGAAAGTGACCTTAAAGATCATCTAGTTCCAATCCCCCCTGCCATGAACAGGGACACCTTCCACTGCACCGCATTGCTCAAAACACCATCCAGCCTGGTGTTAAATACTCCCAGGGATGGTGAGTCCACAGCTTCTCTGGGCAACCTGTTCCAGTGCCTCACCTCCCTCACAGTAAACAATTTCTTCCTATGTCTAAAGCCATTCCTCCTTGTCCCATCACCATCTGCCCTTGCCAAAGGTCCCTCTCCAGGTCTTGCAGGCCCCGTTCTGGTACCTGGGGGATGCTACAAGGTCTCCTTGGAGCTTTCTCTTCTTCAGGCTCAACAACCCCAAGTCACCCAGCCTGTCATCACAGGAAAGGTGCTCCCGCCCCCAGTGATCTTCCTGGCCTCCTCTGGACTCACTGTAACAGCTCCTTGGCCTTCTTACACTGGCTGCCCCACAGCTGGATTCAGAACTCCAGGTGGGGTCTCATGAGAGCCAAGTTTTGATAGTTTTATCAGTCTGTCTAAATAAACGATTTTATCACCAGTCCATGCTCCACTGCAATTCAGTGCATTTTACAACAAAGGGAAAAGTAACATTAGTGAAGATTTTTACATTAGCAAGACGTCAGCTTTTGAGGAAGAAAACAATAAAGTAGTCATTACATCTTCCATACACAGAACCACTTACATCTAGAACAGGAAAATATAAATAGCCCTCTGAGACTGATAATGACTGTCCAGCTGCCTGTAGGAGTTTCTATTTTCTTTATAATTTCACTGTCATATTTGAGTGATATAACTGACAAGGCTCTGTTGAACTAAGTCTCATATTTTTCAGGCTAAACAAAATTCATCAATAATTTTGCAGAGCCATTTCAGAAAGGAAATTTTACTGTACTTCATACAGTGCAATAGAGCACTTGACTTAGTGGTACTAGATAGCTCTAGCCACATAAGTACAGAGAAAGAATGAAAAATGTTTTCTCAAGTTATAAGGAGTCAGATTCATAACCATCCGTCACTCGCCTGGGCAAGTTACTGATAAACTCCACAGGAAAATAACAAACAGCATATCCCTGTATCTTGGCTGGTGAAAATGAGATTCTTTCTCTGATTGATGTTAGTGGAGAGGCTTGTAAAAATGCATTTCCAGCTGATTAGTTCAGAAGGTGTCAATCTCATGCAGTTTTATGACCTGCAGACTATACTCCAGATGTACATTTGCTTTTTATAAACTAACAAAGACGAATGGACCAGATATTGCATGGGGGACCATTCAGATAAATAAAACCCCAAAAAATTCTTTTAACCATCGGTACCCCCAGCTTTGACACTGATCCAGGCTTCTGGAGTAAAAACCAATGAGGGACGCCAGTACTTCAGCTAGGGAAAGGGTTTCATATTTTACAAGAATGATACTAGAAAATCACAAGAGTCACAGCCTATTTGAGCTTGGAAAGGCCTGTAGAAACCATCCTGTCCCACCCCCTGCTCAGGGCTGGATTAGCTAGAGCAGGTTGCTCAGGTATGTACCCAGTTGGGTTTTGAATATCTCCAAGGATGAAGGCTTCACAGCTTCCCTGAGCAACTTGTTGCAGTATCCAGCCACCTTCTCAATTAAAAACATTTTTCTGTGCTTCAGTCTCTGTCCATTGCCTTTTTCCTCTTGCTGGGCACCACTGGAAGGATCCTTTTTTACACCCTCCCATCAGGTATCTGTATGCATTGATGAGAACCCTCCCAAGTTTTCTCTTCTCCAGGCTCTGCACTCTCAACTCTCTCAGCCTTTCCTTGTAGGAGACGTGTCAAGCCCTTAACAGTTTTCATGGCCCTTCACTGAGCTTTCTCTAGGATGTCCATGTCTCTTGTACCAGAAAGCCCAGCCTGCACACAGAGCTGTGTGCTCCTAGAGCAGCCCAGGATGGTGTTGGCACCCTCCTTGCTGCAAGGGCGTGTTGCTGGCTCATGTTAATTTTGTGTCCATCAGGACTTCCAAGGTCTTCTCCACAAAGCTCTGTTACGGTGCAGGAGGTTGTTCCTCCTCCAGGTGCAGCTCTTTGCATTCTCATTGTGGAAACTTCATGTGGTTCCTGGCAGCCCATTTTTCCAGCCTGTCAGTGTCTAGCTGAATGGCAATGTGACCCTCTGGCATATCCTCATCCCAGGAAAAATCAATGTTCTTTCTTGTCTCTTAAAAATGTTCAAACTTTGATACACTTAATGATATTTTTTCAGCCCTTTTATTTTCCCTGAACTGATTTCAAAGTCAGGCAAGTTAAATAAGAATTTTAGATGTGCGAAAGAACAGAAATCCCACTCCTTTACTATTTTGCCAGTCCTCTAACTCATCCACGTAGCACAGTAATACTTAGAAGAATACCTTTAGAAGATCTCTGTTTACTTGCAGTCTTTCAACATTCGATTGAACAAAAAGGGATGCTATTTTTCCCTTCAGAAAGAAGTTTTACTCTAAAGGCAGATTCTTTTGTGAGACAAGCAGTCATGGGTTTCCTTCGAGTGCTGCATTGGTATATTTTTCAGTTCAGTGCAGCAAGCAAGCTCCCTCTCTAATCTAAATGGAATAATAAAATGTTTGAGCTATTTCAGTCTTGCTGTTCTTTTGGGGAAACAATTATCAGCTCTGTGATACCAGATTACATTCATCTAGAAATTTTCTGTAGCTGACATTTCCAGGCTCATTTTCCTTATGACTTTACTTACAGCGAATTAGTAGTTATCAATTTGATCTTGATTTTAATCTTTGATCAAATTAGATTTCCAGGGATGTGACAGATCTAATGTTCCACATATGGGAATATTTCTGCACATAACCATAAAAGCACCCATGTGTTTAAATCTTATTTATACTGGCCAGCATTTCCCATCCGTTTATTCAGAATGGAATCTAAATGTTAAATACAGATTTTGTTTTCTCATACATTTTCATGTAAAAATTTGTGTGGAAATTGCCTTGCCCCTAGCAACAAAATCTTTCTGCCAAGGTATAAAGAAATCCACCTTGATACATGTTGTAAAATATTTAAAGCTACTTGCAGCATAGATATTACTAAAAAACTTGAGGAAAACAGCAGAGTGGGAGTTACTTGTTTCTTTTCTCTAGCAAGTTAAATAACCTCACATAAAAGCTAATTAGACCCACTTAAAATGTTTAATATTTATAAGTTAACAGTGTATGCCAAGCCTGAGTGCCTTCATTTTCTGGTTTGTTCAGCATGTTTTTAGAAAAGTATTGAATAAATAGGTTCGTTTTCGTTTTTACATGATACTGAGTACTCCGAGTATATTCAGCTTGCATGGATTTTCATGGGAGTTTAAGAACTCAGTGGAAACAAACTCTCTTTCTTTAATTGAAAATGAATTCATTAAAATCTTAATTATGAGTATTCTTTCATACTACGTAATTTTTTTCATCTCCCTACTGGCTGGCTCATTCCAATGCACAGGGGCAGGAGTAAGAGTTTGTTCATTTGTGTGACTTTCTGCCAACAGATGGGCTAGTTGACTGTATGGATCCTGACTGCTGTTTGCAGAGTTCTTGCCAAAACCAGCCTTATTGTCGTGGCCTGCCTGATCCCCAGGATATCATCAGCCAAAGCCAGCAGTCTCCATCTCAGCAAGCTGCCAAAGCGTTCTATGACCGCATCAGTTTCCTCATCGGAGCAGACAGCACCCACGTCATACCTGGGGAGAGCCCTTTCAACAAGAGGTGAGCCCGGCTCGTCCTGTGCTCATGAGCACGGAACAAACTGGAGAGTGGGGTTCATGTGAGGAGATCTGCTATGGCTGCAAATTTCTGATGTGGATTTTGAGCAAAGACCTTTTCACTTAATATATCAAATTGCTTGTTTTGTCTCATTTCCTGCAAAATTCAATTTACCAGTGCCACTAGGTTACACAAGGTACTTGCCATGCTTAGTATCTGTATTCTAACAGGGCACTTCATTAATGATTAAATAAATCTCTATTTAACCAGTTGATTTGGGCTAGCACAGTTGGAAATATATCAAAGCAATGAAAACACTTCAGAAGGAAAAGCAAAGCTGCACTTTTTAAACTGAGCTCACTAAATAATATAAATTATGAATTAGTGTAATAGAACTGTTAAGTGCACGACAGTATAATTGCATAAACTATTTGACTGGTGCTCTATGAAGCAGTAATGACCTGAAAATAAGCCAGTAACAGGAAGCAGGTGTCTGGGATCTCACTGAGTGAAAGAAGATGATTTACACTAGAACTACTGCGTTTGCAGTAATTTAACAGCATTAATGTGTTTGGGCACAGCAGTTGATTAAAAGTTGTTGCACCAATGTTCCTTATTGCTCTTTTAAATTTTGTATTTCATAGTCCCTGCAGTTTTACAGATTGCTTTGATACTAATTGAAAAGTACATTTTTCTTTAAAAGTCTGCCAGAAGTATGACTTACAGTGGGAACATATAGAGTTTCTAAGTTCTTAAAATTCTTCAGTTAATTTCTGCTCTTAGTAACACAGTACAGACAAAATAAACCAAAGTAAAATCAACAATACTGAAACAAAATTATTATCTGCAGATTCTAAGGCATTTGTTTATATAGTGTAAATTATGTGAACTTGTAAAAGGGTTAGAATCTGAGGAATGTTTTCTAAATGATAGTTGATAGCATGGGGGGAGGTGTGTGAGGGTGGATGTGTGTGTTCACTCACTAGCTTTTATTCATGCAAAAAGAACAAAACCCCCCCAGACTTGAAATTTGATCCTACATCTTTTTCATAGTCTTGCATCTGTCATAAGAGGCCAAGTATTAACTGCTGATGGAACACCACTCATTGGGGTCAATGTTTCCTTCCTACACTATCCAGACTACGGATATACAATCACTCGCCAGGATGGAATGTAAGTTCCTTTTGAAGCACTTAAAAGTCATAAAGACAGCAAAGGTGTTACTGAAGAGCTGCTTGTAAAACTGAGATAATAAAATAACGGGGAACAAAGACATTAGGAAACTGACTAAAGTTGTACTTTGCACATTCTTAAAATGTAAAACGTGCTGATTATTATATACTTTAGAAGTAGAAAGACTTGCTTAATTTAAACGCAGCGTCCCAAATTCTCTGTTCTCTCTGTGCAGTATAATGTAATTTAATTGATTTCTCCATTGTTCCCAGTAGAGCCATTCTGCATTCAGAGCAGTACAATGGAATGAAGAATCAATCAGTAGAATAGAGGCTGTGGATGGCTTTGGGAATTTGCTGACTAGCTGGCCCTCTTGGGGTTTTTCCCTAGGTTTGACTTGGTAGCGAATGGTGGTGCCTCCCTGACACTGGTGTTTGAGCGATCCCCATTCCTGACACAGTATCACACAGTATGGATTCCCTGGAATGTCTTTTATGTCATGGACACCCTTGTCATGAAGAAGGAAGAGAATGACATTCCCAGTTGTGACCTAAGCGGATTTGTAAGGCCAAACCCTGTTATCGTGTCATCGCCTTTATCCACTTTCTTTAGAATTTCTCCTGAAGATAGTCCCATCATCCCAGAGACACAGGTAAGGTGTGCTTCAAATAAACACAATCTTATGCCAGGTTAGTGTTCAGCAACCAGAATGAAAACCATGCACTGCTGTAGAAAAACAAGTAATTCTGAGTAAGTGCTAGGAATTTGCAACATGTGATTCTTTTCAGACCAATTTATTTACTCTGTCTGATTTTTTAAATTTCATCTGAAAATGGAAAGTAAGAAAGCTGTGTGTACATCAGTACATTTGTTTCCATCACTTAATTTACAGAATGTATTTAGCATTCAAGTATGGCCCATAATTAGGGTACACTATGGTACATTGGCCTTTTAGGATTGGCCTTTCAAACTTTTCCAAGTGAAACAGTCCTGCTTCTGCCTCCCTCTTTGCCTCTCTCTCTTTCTCTTGCCCCTACTTCCCCAATGTCGTAATTACATAGAGCACTCTTTTTTGCATTCACAAAGAAATGTCCTTGCCTCTTCAAGAGAAACACAGAAAATGTATTCAAATGTTTTCATGCAGTGCTCTTAAGAAAAGAGCTAAATCATTAAGCAATTCATGGTAAGAGCAAGTTTAAAGGAAAGATGTAAGAAAATTACAACTAAACACTCATACAAATCTAGACTGTGTTAGGAAATTGTTGCTTTTATCCTCACTATCATTTCTGTGCCTTTGATGGCTGCAAGTCAATTAAAAGAAAGTATTTTCAAAACAGAGTCCACTGAAAAACAGCTTTGATTTGCTTGTTTTGATTTACTTGTTTTGGTAATAGATGATAGATTCAGTTCCTGAAATTATGGAAAATAGCTTAGCTAGATATAAGTCAAGAAAAAAGTTATGATAGAAGAATGTTAGAAAATGCACATTTGTAAAAAACCCTTGTAGTGTCTAGGTAAACAAGTTATTTCTTGAGCAATGGGACTAATGAGGTCTGGGTTCCTACTAATTCCCACCCACTGCTGTAATTCCATCTGTCTGTCACATCCAGTCCTTCCCCACAGGCTGCATTCAGCCTTTTCTTCTTTCTCATGGGAGTCCCAAATTGACTACTTCCTCCCTACTGGAGCCCTTTTTTTTTTACAAGCATAAAGGAACAGAATTATCTTTAGAAATTTCTACTGTTACTTAAATTGTGGTTGAAATTGTCTGCCAGGTTCAAAATTTGTGAGGTGGGAGGTCTGATAGGCAGGACTGTTGGGTCAAGTTGTCTCCTTAGGAAACCAGCTGGAAGGAAAGATATTCTCGGTGGATCCTAAGCAGTTGGTGCTGCTGGGTGATTTATGATGAGGGAAAATGTTATGTTTGCAAAAATCCAATTCAATACTATGTAAGAAAACATTAAGCAGTGCTTTCTTCTATATTCTTTGCTTATCCCACACATAATTTTCTCCTTCAGCAAGTGGGAACTGCACAACTGTGACTGGCGTGTACCCCTTCGGGTCAGGTTCCCCTTCAGAAATGCATAATGCTCAACAATCTGTTGCCCAAAAAAATACTCCTCTCATAAAAGATGGGCAAAACCAGATACTATTCAAAAGTGTATGTTCAGCTCCAGAGGAACTGCTGCTAACCATTTCATATAAAAAGGGGCAATGCCAGTTTAAAGTGTGTGAGCCTGGAGGAAAGCACAGAGAAATAAGATGTTCCCCATGTTCTTGCAGTCAGTGTTTAGCCACCCTATTCGTGTGCTGTGACAGCACTCACCATCACGTACTGCAGGAAAAAATGATGAGCTGCTGTAATCATCATCCCTTGAAGTGCTTCATCATCCCTTGGAGATAATGTTTCCAAGAGTGTACTTAGTGGCTTATGAATCCCAAATTGATCAGAGGGGGAATTAAAGTCTGTGCCAAAGGAGCAGTATGAAAGAAAACTAGATAAAAAAAAAGAAAGGGCAAGCAAGGGGAAAGAACAAACACAGTGGGTAAAGAGGTGATCACAGACCCAACAGATCATTACTCAAGAGGGCTGATAATAACATGTTAACTAAATTTGGACTGCTCCGGCATGATTTTATCTACTATTAATTGCAAGTTACCATGCTTTGCCTAGACTTAAGTAGCTGAGATTAATCGGTGTGGAATGAGGCAATAAACTGCATACAGATGAGGGAGTTCAGGTTAAGCTGGAGCTGCTTTTATGTATTAGGTAATATCGTTACTCTCTTTTTCCTAATAATTTCCTGAAATGTCTGTTTTCCATGTATCGCCATGTGGTCTGGCAGAAGCCCGTGTGACTCACAGTGAGCACTTCTGAAACTGAGTGTTTGAGGGTTTCCCCTCTCCTAAACCTCCATTATCTGCTGTTATATGTGCTTGCAAGATGCCTTCTGCAGATCCTGAGCCTCTTGTTTCCATCGCTTCATGTGTATGAGAGAATGAAAACTGGATGTTTTCCTTCAAATTATGTATTCAAGGTTCTTCTCCTCAGACTCTTTCTCTCTACTGGCAGTAATGGGGCAGAAGTTGGCAAAATTTATTTACCCAGAGGAATTCAGGATAAAACATGAGCTTCAATGACTTAATAAAAATAATTACTGGTAGTTTCAGAGTGGCTAGGTTTTCAGAAAAAAAATTAACCTATTTAAACATTTGAACTAACAACATAATAGGATATCTAAAAATATTGGTATTCTATGGATGCTGCACCCTAGTTTCACTTACCTAAAATCTTCAAAATTTCAAGTTCATACTTGAAATTTGAGGAAAAAAATTGAGACTATTTGCAGAACCAAATATTTCCATTTCTACATTTCCTTCTTTTCCAGCACATTTTATGGTTTTCTTCTCTTTTGCTTTCTGTTTAAGACTTTGTACATACCTTTTTCTTTATTCTGTTAGAGACACATTTTTATATTTCTATATGTATGTGGGTTTTCCTACCCCTCTTCTCTGTGGTACCTAAACCATGTTTTAAGTCTAGAAAAAACAAATATTTTTACCCTTTTTATTTCTCCTTGATTTAACTGGTAATTTAAGAGCCTCAATTGTAGGGAAAGGCTTTTTTTTAAAGGAAAACAGTTTTCTGTCTTGAAATGAGCAGTTTCAGCTTCTACTTAAAGTATAATTTTGGTACTCCTTAATCTCAGCCTTTATGTAATAGCAGCAGTTGCTAGTATCTAAAAATGCCATCTTTACCCCTCTCAAACCTAGATCATGTTACATTTTAATGCAGCAGCTCAGCTGTTATTTCTCAGCAAACAACCTTTTTCTGACACTAGGACTAAAGTTTGCAGTCACTTATGAAATTTGTCCTCAAATCCTCTTTTGAAATTGTTCAATTTGCCAAAAAAAAAAAATCACAGCAACACAGCAGGCATTTCTCCCCCTAACAGAATTACTTATTCAGTGTTCTGAGTACCATCAGAGCATGTCAGCTGAATCATATCATATTTTGGAGCAGGAAAGCATTCTAGAGCCTGGACAGCTTTAGTCCTGCTGGCCATGAGAGATGAGGAGCCTTGCACAATTGATGTGACCAGCTCAAACTCTGAGGACAGCAAACACTGTGAAAATCGAGGTGACCCTTATCTCAGTCCCCTAAGTTAAATATTTCACTGCTGTCCTTAGGAGTAGCTTGATCATGCACAAGTAAAATGTCAGCCATTAGAATTTGCTGGTTGGGCAATAAGTCAGTCCCCTCAGGTATCAGCCTTTCTGAAGGCAGTTTGTGCTCAGTGTGGAGAAGGTGAAGCACAGACAGCTTGGTTGTGTTGGTGATTCCTGACGTGACTTTTATTCCCTGTGACTTTCCCGATTGCTTTACAATTGGTGTGTTGTCATGGCTCCCATAGGAGCTCTCTGCTGTGCCTGATGATTTACCTTTTTGGATGAACATGAAACTGTTTAATTCTCTTTGTAATGCTTGATTCTGGGAGATAGATTGAGTTGCATAACCTTACCTATACATTTCTAAACTTCTCAAGAAAATAAGTTACTACAGGGGATATTTTATGGAAAAAAGGAAGTTATAAGTCAGATTTCCAGCAGGCATTTGAGGCTTCTGCAGAAACTAATAATAGGGGTTTAGGTTTTCTTTTAAACCTCGCTGAGAACTGCATGAGTGTCCTAGTTTCTAATTTGATAGTAATCCAAATACACAGTGGAATTTCTTGAAAATTGAAACTTCAAGGTGTCCTCTTTATTGCCTGCTATCTCAGCCAAGAGCTCTGGAAGACCACCTATGTGTTTAACACTGCTCTTCCACAGTTGCAGTTGTAAAAGAAGCCACGGTCGTAACAGGAGACCACTGAAGTCCATTAAATTGTGTCCTATTACAAGGGACATTATTATTTCTTTTTCTCCTCTTGCTTACAGAGACCTCCATCTGTTAGACTAGCTTTTATGTGCAGTATATGAGAGTCCTGCTGGTGTCTTGAGGAGGAATTTGTCTTTTGTTCCTGGGTGGTTTGTGCTTTTCCTTCAAAGTCTCAGAAAAGGAATGTGCTCACAATCACTTACCTCTCTAGAGAGAGGTGGTTTTGTTCATGTAGGAAAGATTTGCCTGTTCTCTGGATTAGACAGTCTGTATATTGAGCTGAGGGAAAATAGACTAGATTTACAAAGAGAAATGAGGCCACCCTCACCTCCTTCAAGGTGACTACTTTCTTTTCAGCCAGGTTCTTGGTGGGGAACAAAGAAATACTCAAAGAGTAAGAATTAAGAATTTTAAAAGCGTAATTCATTTGTCTTGTATCTTCCAATTCATACTTTATTTCCTAAAGCTCTGTTATAGTCTATCTGAAGAACAAGTTTTATGTCTACATGTAGCAGATATAAATAACAATAAAGCCAGACAATGAGTCAAAATAGTATTTCTGAAATTTTGTTACTGTTACTGGGAAGGAAGTAGATATAATTAATACTGTATAAACCTTTCTGTAGATCCAACAAAAATGCTAATGTAGAGGATGGTATAGCATGTGTTGCCCTCCTTGAACATCAACTGCATTACTTCACCCTATTCAACACAGTCAGTTTTTTAGAAGCAGTGTCCAAGGATTTCTGTGGCACAGAGAGCTGGCAGCGCTTGTGTAGTAGCCAGGTTTTGATCGCACTGAAGTCTTAAGCCTGCTACTTGTGACAGTGCTTCTCCTGAAGTCTGCTTCCCACTAATTCTAAATCATGTTTAGTCTTCAGACTTCAGGACGAGGAGACAGAAAAGTAAAATAAACCTTTCTTAATTTACTTCCCAAGAGTGTTCCTGTAACACCACTAAGGTTCTGGGCTTGTGCTTCAGCATCCTTTGAACTCTTCACCAATGAAACATTACCTTCAAGTGTGTCTGGATACATTTTTCTTCTTCTTTTGTTTGTTTCAATAAACCAGGATACCTGGTAGCTGTTCACTGCAAGTGCTGGCTGCAGTGTTTATGTTCTGACTGAGGCATAGAACAATATAGGCTGCTTTTATCCACATTACACAGAAACATTTCACATCCATCCATCACCCACAAAAGCTTCTCAGCTCAGAGGCAATGACAAGGTAGAGGAGGGGAGGAACCTTTTAGAAATAAAATTGACTCATTCCACCTCTCAGAAATGTGAAAGTGATAAGCTGATATTTGAGTAGTGAATATTGGTCAGAAAATATGGAAAAACTTCCCCTGAGGCATCCTACTTATCTGTCTTCAAAATAAATGGAAGAATGGTCTAGTTTAAAGTATTTACAATCCACTGGTAATGCAAATAATAAAATACCTGGGACTTCTTCCTGCTCCTACAGGAGAAATTAGGCACCCCAACCCAAATCTCAAGCTTTGCTCTCCTTAGAGGCTCTACTGCCTTTATTAGACATGCCTTTCTTAGTTGGGACATGGGTAGCAGCACCATAAGGGGCAATTTTCACTTAGTTGAAAGATGCTTTTTTGCCTCTTCAGGAAAAATCAATTGTGAATGTTTTCTCATGCCTCCTTTGCCCCTCATTAAAAAAAAAAGGAGATAATTTTGAAATGCTTGAGCAGAAAGTACCAACTAAGCAGCTTCAGTATAATGAAGAATTTAGACTTGACTTCTTAGGAAAAGTGTGAAACATTGTTATTTATTTATGGGTTTTTTAACCATAAAGGCCAAATGCAGGTGATATTTCCTAATGGATTGTCATGTAATATGTTAGGCAGCCTTTTATGATAGCTGCATTGTTTTAATTTCCAACTAATTGAAATACTGTATTTTTCTTTTAATGATGCATAGGTACTTCATGAAGAAACAACAATACCAGGGACTGACCTGAAGTTATCATACTTGAGCTCCAGGGCTGCAGGATATAAATCTGTACTGAAGATTACTATGACCCAATCTGTTATACCATTTAATTTAATGAAGGTTCATCTTATGGTGGCAGTGGTGGGAAGACTTTTCCAAAAATGGTTCCCTGCATCCCCAAATCTAGCATACACCTTCATATGGGATAAAACTGATGCATACAATCAGAGAGTCTACGGATTATCTGAAGCTGTTGGTATGTGTTACAGAGGATTTTTGTACTTCTAGTGTTGTCTTGAACATAGGGAAGAACACCTCAAATGCTTGTATCCATTAAGAAAATGTTGGCAAAATAAAATTACATCAGTGGATATTGAAACATATTGAAAAATACTGATCATTTTGAAAAAACTAATCTAAACATTGAATTATGAGAAAAAATTCCTTCAGAAGGAAAAAAGAAACCATTTTTCATTCACATGAAAAGTGACGTTTTTTAACTTTTTTTCCTTCTCATGAAGTAGCTCTCAGCCTAATAATAATGGTGTTTAGTCTGCACACTGTGTGTACTTTAGGTAAAGTACAATAGCACTATGACTTACATCACAAAATGAATTTCCTCTGTCTTAGTTCACTTACTCTTAATAACTAAAACATTTTAATAACCTAAGATTCTGGTTAGTATCTTCAACATGTCTAAGAAGCCATAGGAATTTTCATGTGTCCTAGGAGAGCAAAAGAATGTGTGTATTTAAAGAAATGCCATTCTTTAAACTCCTCTTCAGAATGAGCTCCTGTACTGAATGAGGCCGTGTGCTGTTTTTCAGTGTCTGTAGGTTACGAGTATGAGTCTTGCTTGGATCTGACTCTCTGGGAAAAGCGCACTGCCATTTTGCAGGGTTATGAGCTGGATGCCTCCAACATGGGTGGTTGGACATTGGATAAGCATCATGTATTGGATGTTCAGAATGGTAAGGAGTTCATTTTCTTCTTGCTAGTTTTACTGCTCTGCTGTCCTGCACTTCAAGTCTCTCATTCAAACTTTTTGCTATTTGTGCTATTATTTTTTAAAAGGAAATTATAGAACATTTTTCAAAGGGTAAATTCTTTATACTTCCTCGCTCCCCAGGGAAATGGTCACACCAAGCCAGTCAGAGTTGGCAGAAAGTGTTAGGACAATGTTCTCAGGCACACAGTGTGATTCTTGGGGTTTATCCTGTGCAAGGCCAGGAGTTGGAGTCAAGAATCCTGTGGGTCCCTTCCACCTCAGGATATTCCTTGTTTCTATTATTTACACTGAATGTCATGCTTCTGCATCCTAAAAGTACATATGCATGAATAAATTCATCAGTCTGTGTTGGATATGCTGTGGTGGGTTGACTCTGGCTGGACACCAAAGCCACCCAGTCACTCCCCAGCTGCACAGGGGAGAGAAAACAGAATGGAAAGCTCATGGGTTGAGATGAGGACAGAGACAGATCTCTCAGCAGTCACTGTCATGGGCAAAACAGAATTGACTTGGGAAAATTAATATAACTTATTACCAGTCAAATCACAGTAGTGTAGTCACAAAAAAAGCCAATCTTAAAAACAACTTGCCCAATCCTTCTTTCTTTCCAGGCTGAACTTTACTCCTGAATTCTTTATCTCCTCCCTGCCTATGGTGCAGGGACACAGGGAATGGGGCTGTGATCAGTTCACCACGGCCTGTCTCTGTCCCTCCTTCCCCCTGAGGGGAAGGACTGCTCACACTCTTCCCTGCTCCAGCATGGGCTCCCTGCCACACAGACAGGCTCCATGAACTTCTCCCCTGTGAGTCCTTCCCACAGGCTGCAGTTCTTCACAGCTGCTCCAGTGGGATCTGCTCTGTGGGGTGCAGTATTTCAGGAACAGATGGCTCCAATCCTGGCAGCAAACCTGCTCCAGCACAGGCTCCTCTCTCCATGTGTCCAGAGGCCCTGCCAAGAGCCTGCTCCAACATGAGCTTCCCACAGGGTCACAGCCTCCTTTGGGCATCCCCTTGCTCTGGCATGGGCCCTCCAAATGGATATGTGCTCCACCACAGGTGCCCATGTTCTGCAGGGGCACAGCTGCCTCACCGTGCTCTTCTCCCATGGGCTGCAGGGGAATCTCAGCTCTGGTACCTGCAGCCCCACACTCTCCTTCTGCAGAACTTGCTGTCCGCAGAGCTGTTGCTTGCTCATATTCTCACTCCTCTCTCCCGCTGCAATTTGCTGTTGCACAGTAACTTTGCAAAGTGTATTGGTCAAGCAAGCTGCTCAGCAACTGTTTGCAGGGTGCCATGCTAAGGAAACCTCAGCTCAACACTGAACAGGAAGAAATTTGGAAAAACTTGGCTGGAAGCGTGTAGGAAAGGTGAAGTAAACAGTCACATAGCTTAAAGTAGTAGTTGGTAGCACTTGGTTTTCATGCAAGAGAGGAACCCAGAGTAATTATCAGGAAGATTGTCAGTTCTGCAGTACTTGATGTCCCATGAAGGTCTCCCCATAGTACACAAGCTTATTATGTGTAATGCAGTAGTCGAAACCTAAAGCATCGCCTCTGACTGGTAGGGAAACAAGGTCACCAAATCAAGGGAAAAGGTGTCATTGTACCTAATTTAAAATTAAAAATAAAAAACCAACAAAACAACTGTGCAAATTATTGTAAAGTAATCCATCTAAAATTGTAAAGAGCTATAATTATAAATATATATGTAAGACTGATTCTGTTCACTGGGTAAATTGATGATGGCTTTAAATTATGTTGAAGAGTACATTTGACAAGTAATGACTTTTCAAAGTGTCATGTGTCTAATTGAATAAACCAAGTGGAGAGTTGTAATGACAAGGTGGATGAGATGCATAAATCTATTCAGGAGAGAGTGCAGACAGTGTTTGCATGGAAATCTAGACTACTGCAGTAAATAGTCTAATGTACATCTTTTACTCTGTGATAATAGAGGAGAAATGTGAAGGACCAATTTTTCAAGGTAATGACAGAATAAATCAGGTGCAATAGTGCACTGTGCTGACTTCTAGAATTCCGCTGATGAAAATTGTAGAACTCAGCTATTTCAGGCAAAATTATAGTGCCATGATTGTCATAAATGATGTAATCATAGGAGAGGGGATTTCGTATACTGTTAATGCATTCTGGCTTTAACTATTCATGAAAAACACATTCTTCCTCTTTTGATTTAGATTGCTTATTTGGATTACTTGCCATTAGGTTTCCATAAACCATTTTCATTTTTTCCAATTTTATCATGTTTCCAATTTTATCATATTGGTTTTACATTTATAATCTCTTGCATTTTATAACATTAAAAGCAGTGAAGACACCTAAAACATTTAAAGAGGAAAGCAAGGTATTTTTTTCTCCTACCTTTCAGTTCAAATCATGCACTTCAGGAGAGAGGAGGGAAAGAGAAATACGCCTTAAATTTCTTCAAAACTTCTTAAAAGATAACTGTATCCCTCAGCTCCAAATTGCATGAACCTCTGGGCATGCAATCAGTAAAACCCAGATCTCTGTACAGTACAAAGTGACGTGTGGTTTACACGGATTATACCACGGAAAGACCCATGGTGACTTACAGGTAGAACCATAATAGCTGACCATTTGTAGAGGACACCTTAATGGATTCATCGTGAGACTGAACAATGAGGGTCCTGGCAACACTTGAACATACATTTTTTTCCCCCACAAGACTGAAGATTTAAGATAAAGCATCCATTTTTCCTCTCAGATTTCCTACGTAGGCTATAAATAAGAAAAATACTGCTGGCATATTGCTTTGTCTTCACAAAATTATTGTTTCTTTCATGCCTCAAAGCAGAATTAAGTTTTAGAGGCAGGTTGGCTTGGCACCATTTTTTTTGTTGTTTTGACATTTTTAATAACTGCCTATAACTGCAGATATGGTATTGAGGCAGACTTTGTTGCCAGAGGAACACTTTTGTTGTGAGCTGAGTAAAGAATCTTTTACAATGTAAAACTGAGGCAATCGACAACTTTTTGAAGTGGCTCTTTAATTAATATTTGCAATTTGCAACAGTAGTCCACTTCAGATTACATTCAACATGATACTCATAATTAGTTATACTAGGACTTTAGGAATACAATTTGCAAATATATTCTTTTTCATTTTTTAGAAAGCACTTTAGAATTTCAGTCCTTTCTGTACTATTTCAAGACTGTAAACATATAGGAACACAGACCTTCCTGCCATTAATATACTTAACATTTCCTCCAGCATGACAATTTTTATTCTGAATTATAACTATAAAAATCATTAACATTTAAAAATAACAACTGAAATTATTTTGGGGTTTTAAGAGCTACAATATTTAGTGTTTCTACTAAATTTTGTGGACAAAATAATGTAATGTTTGCATGTTTATAACCTAAATATAACTATAGATGTTTTAATAAAGTTGCTATCTGTTGTGAGGAAAATATAGTGGTGAAACAATAAAAATTCATTGAACTTTTACTAACTAGCTAAAAAAATATCTACAGTACTTTAGCACCATTTTATGTGTATACATTCAGAGTTTTTATGAATGTTATTGGGTTTTGATTTGGTTTTTTCCTGTATTATCTGGCAGGAATCCTCTACAAAGGGAATGGTGAAAATCAGTTTATATCTCAGCAGCCCCCAGTTGTTAGTAGCATTATGGGCAACGGGAGACGACGCAGCATCTCCTGTCCAAGCTGCAATGGTCAAGCTGATGGTAACAAATTGCTGGCTCCGGTTGCCTTGGCTTGTGGGATAGATGGCAGTCTGTACGTGGGGGATTTCAACTACGTCCGGCGGATATTCCCATCTGGAAATGTAACTAGTGTTCTGGAGCTAAGGTATGTCTTTTTCTCATCCTGGACTTTTGGAGGTATGAGTTGCTGTGGCAAATTAGTTTCTGCAATTGTGTAAGTTTGAGTTTGCAAATGCTTTTGGGAACAGAACAGAAGCTGAGTCAAAATATTTTTAAAGTATTTAAAGCTGAAATGGAAATATTTTACCATCATAAAATAACTATGCTTATCTAAATGTGAGAATTTAATCTACCCAAAGTAATAATTCAGCAGATTTTAAGAGTTAACATATGTGGTCAATGTAAGTGGACAATGGACAATCATTCAACACTTCACTAATGACAGATGTAAATGTTGCCTTCTTCTCTCTCGTCTTTTAACATCCTTTCTGAATGTTTGTCTAATAATGTTTTTTCTGTTCTTTTTTACTTGCTCCCACCAAGAAATAAAGATTTTAGACATAGGTAAGCATTCCTTAAAGAAGATTTATATTTTTCTAACTGTTCTTTCTTTTTTAACAAATGAATGCTTATAATGGGCAAGTCATTTCTGAGATGTATTACTAGAAAAGAGGAGTATTTTTCAAAAATAATGAGTTCATATGTTTTAGTTATGTCAGCTGTCAGGCTGTATCGTCCTTTCTGATGAGTTCCTCTTTTCTCATCACTCTCTGTCCACAGTCAGGCTTCTTGTTATGCTTGTGTGTGCCCTCCTCTGCTGTTCCGTCATCTCTGCTCACTCCTTGCTGGCAGCTCTTCTGCTGATCCAATCAAAACTCACTCATTAATCAGATACACCAAATATGATGAGAATGGCTTATAAAAGTATCAAGGGAGTTCATTTCATTAGCCTTTTGATGTTGAATCTTTTCAGGCTCTCATTTAATAGATTTGTTTCTTTAAAGGTGAGGTTTTTTTTAATAATGGAAGTTGAAATACCAGTAACACAACTCCAGGAGTTAAGATTTTAAAATACACCCAGACTCACAAAATTGGTCACAGTAACAACAGTAATCAGAGGATTGTAGTACAGCATTCATCCGTCCTGGCATCACTACAATAATGGCAAGAACAGAAGAGTAGGTGGATGCTTAGAATTGCTTTCCACAGCAGCTGGTGCAGATAAGGAAGAAAAAAACAGAGTCATGCTAAAATCTTGTTGCAGGTATGAAACCCTGCAAACATTTGTGGCAGAACTACTAAGCTTAGCAGGTTCACTGGTAGCTTTCTCTCCTTTTTGCTGCCAATCATTTTCCTTCCTTGTTTCTAAACAAATCCCAGAGTCATATCTCTGTTGTCCATGTTTTTTAAATTCACTTTTCTTTGACATACTTCTGTGTGAGGAAGGGTTTTATGTTTACAAAAATATGTTTCAGATATGTTAGGCAAAAAATTCCATGACAAACTCTAAGGCGTCTGCATCAGTGCTAATGATCAGAATTGGTTTTGTGGGTTTTTTTCCCCCAGGGTGACTCGAAGGCAGTCTCTTCTGTTTGGCGGGTTTAGGTTTCACTATTACAATTAGTCTGTATGTGTTCCACCACTCTTAAAAGAATTATATCCCTTGTGGTATCACAAAGTTGTGATTGCAGCTAGATAGGACATTGTCTTGGCAAATATATAGAATGTGGAATTATACTTAAAAATGGGCATGTGGAATGTACAGAAAGGGATTAAAGAGTGGATGCATATTGAGGTTTGTTTTGCTGTGATTTAGTAGCACAACCCTTTCCTGCCTCTGGCAGAACTGTGGTCACGGCCTCAACTGCAGTGTTTCAGAAACTGGATCCCTGCATCTAAGAGAAGCTAGTGAGGGAGAATACTGAAGCTTTTCTGTTTTATTCATGCCTAAACATGCAGAATCTCCAGGTAGCAAAATTGCAGTCATACCAAACAAATTAGTGTAACAGCATGGGCCCATATAGCAGCTGTGACGTGGAGGTTCCTCCTGGGGCAGGAGGAGACAGAGGGGGCTGTGGAGAGCTGGCTCTGCAGGAGCAGTTGGGGAGCCAGTAGGCAGGAGATGTGGAGCCCACTGTGCAGCACAACATGGTTTATTATGAGCCTGAGTTTTCTCTCACATCATACAACGTTTTCCCAGTGTCCACTCTCAGCCTTAGAGATTTGCTGATGAGAGACTTCCTAAGCCAAGAGTGAGATCTTGATGCTTAATGTCCCCTGGCAGCTTTTTATTCTATTAATTTAGCTGCCTTTTATTTAAGATGTGTAAACTTTTAGGATTCACCAAATCCTCTTGCCATGGGCTCTCCAGCTAAGGACACACTGTGAAACCAAATACCTTCTTTTGGCTGCATGAATTCATGCAAAGTCCTGTGAAATTCTGCAGAGGGAAGCACATCTGTCTGGCCTGTAAGAGGAGAAGGGAGAAAATGTCCAGTTTCACTGGCAAGCCTTTCAGACTCCTGAGGAGATTTCTACTTAAACTGCAGTTTGGAAAAAAGCCCTCAACAGACCACTTTGCAAAAGATAATTGCTAGGTATTAGAAGAAAATGCACTAAAAAATGCATTCCCCAAGTAAAGCTACTGAATGAGGCTAAATGCTAGTTCATATCTCTTGTCTATTCAAGCATTCACCTTTCCTGGCCTATAAACACAGTGCTTCAGCGCAGTGTGATGTGTCTCCTAGCTCAAGAAGCCTGTGCTCTCTTTCATAGAGAGAGAATGCAGATCAAATTTCTCCTCTCATGTACCAGTGACCTCGCATTTTTTCAATCTCAAAGCTGAAATGATGTCTTTATACACACTGCTGCCTGTGGGTGATTAATGCTGATAGACATTCATGGAAGTCATTTTTAGAAGGACTTTGAAGACAGGGAGGTCTTTTGTAGGCTATGGCACTATCCCAAATCTATAGAGAGGCAGAAAAAAAAGTCTAACAAAACATAAAAACAGCTTTGAGGGGATATATGGTTTAGAGGGCACATACTGAAGGCAAGAGAGACAGGGACTGAAACAGGAGGAGTATTTTCAAAAAAACTATACATGGAGAATAGTCCAGGTGATCTGACAGCTGAATCAAAAAATTGGCCTAATCAAGATAAAAGCACATAGAAATAGATAGTTACAGCTCTGTATACATGTGTGTGCACACTTTCAATTCAAAGCACTTACTATTATTCAGAATAGACAGAACAAGTTAATTTTTAGGCATTTGTCTTTACAGGAGCCAGTGTGGGTATGTAACTCCATGTTTTACAGACTGCTGAAAGTGATTAGGCAATACTGAATGAGTCAATAAGTCACGGGTTGGGGATTTAATTTCTTTGCATTTGTTGTTATTGGTAGAATAATTCATTTCAGGGTACAATGAAATTGTATAAACTCTGCAGCTTTCCAGCTGCTGGCTGCTTATCCCTGTACTATTTTTGTGATCAGCATAGTGCTCATGGATATTTTCTGGCTACAAAACAAATGTAGTTTTCACTTGACAGTTATTCAGTTCCTCAAATTGTGCCTTTCTCCCATCAGTTATTGGGGGTTTCTATTGGCTAAAGCCTCCTTGGCCGTGCAAGCTTCACCTGAAAAGAAATGCTGAGGTTAAGCCTGTTGTATCAGCTCAGAAAAGAGCCATGAGACATCTACGTATGGCAAGTTGGAGAGTTTCTGTTGATTCAGTAGTAATATCCTGTGCACTTTTACTCTTTAAGAATATGAGAAAATACATTTAAATTATCAGGTGATTTCATTTGATGAGGATACTGTATTTACCGTGACAACTCATCACCTGATTTCTTTTTTGTTGGAATTAATGAGAATGTACATTTTCATATTAATGAAGAAAAGAGCTTTAAAATTTCTTTTTGGAAATAAATGGTGTTAGGCATAAATTACTTACTTTTTGATTTGATGATTTCTTATTCCAATGGCTGAAAAATATGATTGAGGCAATGTTAGATGGGTTGAAGAGAGGTACTTTGATTTCAGTAGTGTAAGAAAGAACTTCATTTTGAATTACAATGAAATAAAATTTAATTGCACATTTCGCATCTTGCAATGTGTTTGTATTTGAAGTGTTTGCAAAGTTTCTTAAAGACCAAAGTAATCATGTAAATGGGTATAATTTAATTTGCAGTCTATGGAGGTATAAATAATTCGTACACTACATAGTGATCATATTAAATGATCACTGCATAAATTAAGGCTTTGAAAATACCTTCCAACTATTTAGCACATTGGCAATAATAGATTTGTAACAGACAGAAATTTAAACTAAGCCTGCATTTGATTGTTTTCAGACATGCTGTACAACACTCAGTGCAATTGCAGAGCTTTTAAAGAGGCGCTAATCACTGTGTATTTGATTTCATTAGTCTGTTTCACTTGGTTTCATTCATTCTGAACCAACATGTTAAAGTCTTAAAACCAAATAAAATCCTATTTATGCAACACATTTTTTTTCTGTTTTGTAATTGGATGGCTATAAAAATCTGTCCCTGCTAAAAGACATAATTTGTTCACAAGTTGTTCCTGTTGGTCTCTGTTGCATTTTCCAAGTGGCAGTACATAAAAATGTGTTACATTAGCACAGTTACGTATTTACCAAACGTGAAGTGTAGCATTCTGTGAACAGATGTTTGGCTACCACCAGACTGGTAGATCTGTTTAAGCAGCACTTTTGCAAACATCAGAAGTGACTGTTCTGACACTCTGTTTCAATCCATGAGGGGAGCATCTGAAATTACCTCATGTATTTACATGACCTTATTTCTGCTCTTCATGCCATAAATTAGGTCAGGAATCCCAACTGCAGTGGGTTAAGTTTCTACATCATAATATATCAACACAAAAGGTAATCTCCAGGGCTGTTTTTTTCAGCAGCAGGGAAGAAAAGACAGTAATTCTCAATTATGTGGCACCAGAGGAGAGACAAAATGTACGGTTCTGGGAAAATGGTTAGGAATATATATTTTCACTGTAATAAAGACTGTGCTGGCATAGTTAGCAGTTTTCTGCCAATGTGTACAGTTATTTGAAATATGACTCTGACTTAAGAAGAATGGAAAAGCTCTGCTTGGTCTCTAGTGGAAGAGATGACATTTCCTAATGTGTTAAATCATGCACATCACGCATTTGAAAGCAGTGGATTAAACAAATGCTTATGAATGATGTCTTATCTCTTTCCTGTGAACTCATCATTCAAACTCTGTCTTATCTGTTCATGAATTACATAAACCATGAACCCCAGCAGCCTTGTATAAATTATAATAAAACAGATAGGATAATACCAACAAAGTGTAAGTGAGGCCTGGGCTCCTGCTGCAAAATTTGGAACTACATCAAGGTTCGCAGAACTCTCAGACGGTTTTAAACTCCAGTATTTTGATTTGGCCTATTAGAGACACATTTGCAGTCTCTTATGAGAGAGCCTGAACTACCCTGAGAGCATTAAAGACAAAATGGACCATCTTTCCTTAGAGGATTAGTCTAGAGGGGGCTGTCTGTGACACAGATGAGAAATGTGGGCCAAAACCATTTTGGGGCCGCGACCTGTGCTACCTGTGCATGGAGCATCACCATTGATTTAACTCTGTCTGCCTTACTGCATACTTGTAGGAACTAAACTGTTTTCTCCTTAATCCACTGTGAGCTGCAATTAACTACAGCATATGCAATATGTTATTCCATTTTGCAGCAACAACCCAGCTCACAGATACTACCTGGCAACTGACCCCGTGACAGGAGATTTGTACGTTTCCGACACAAACACACGCAGGATTTACCGGCCCAAGTCGCTCACGGGTGCGAAAGACCTGACCAAAAATGTTGAGGTCATAGGAGGAACGGGGGAGCAGTGCCTGCCCTTCGATGAGGCAAGGTGTGGTGATGGAGGCAAGGCGGTGGAGGCAACTCTCATGAGCCCTAAAGGTAAAAAGAGCTCTCCCTCTGTAACATTCAGAATAATACAGAAGTTCAGAGCTGGGGGCATGATTGTGTTTAGTTACTGAATTCAATAGTTGGCTCAAAAATTGGGGATTTGAGTAATTTTTTTACAAGTAGAAAGTATATAGAGGAAGAGAGCTACAGGGGACTGATTTTTTTGAAATCAATTAGGGTTGATTTTTTAGGAAGTATTTGGCTTGAGTGGTTATTGAGCATTTCTAAACACTCAATAAGAGCATTTAGATTATGTGTTTGGCAGGCAGCAGTGAATATCTAAAATGAGCATTGCTTTTGGTTCCATTTATTCAATGTTCAAAGTTAACTTAAAATCTAGACCCTTCCAACACACAAAAGCAATTGAACAACAAATGCAATCAACAGTAGTAGATTTCATGCTGAATACTGGTTTGTCATGCAAAATACATTAACAAGCTGTTACTACCTACTCCCTGAGACCAGATTTTCTGCCTACAATTTCTACTAAATGCATGCTACCTATACCCTTAGTTGTGGATAATATATTCACTGGTAGTACAACAAAAAAAAAAACCCTAATTTTTATTTGCTTCACTGAAGGAATAGCAATAGACAAGAATGGGTTAATCTACTTTGTTGATGGGACCATGATTAGAAAAGTGGATCAGAATGGAATAATATCGACATTGCTTGGCTCCAATGACCTTACCTCAGCACGACCTCTAACCTGCGATACCAGCATGCACATCAGCCAGGTACTTTTCACAGTTGCTGCTAATTTGCAAAGCTGAGCTGGTGATAGAAACTGAGATGCAGCTTTTGAGCCCCTTAAAATAAAAGTGGGTGGAGTGTGATGGATATTTAACAGCAGGTTTGGGGGAGAAAGCAACCTGTTCCACGAGTGTGAATTGCACTGTGTTCTCTAAGCTATAAACGGTGCTGTATTCAATTTTTCTGCCCATAAAGTTCAGTTTGGTTTAGAACAGAAAAACTATCAGCAGGAAACATTAAGCCTGATAGTAAATACTGGGAGAATGGCATATCTGTTAGAACTATCTTGGCATGTTGATGTTTTCTGAATTGCTGACATCCTTAGCCTACTAGAGTGAATGAAAGGATTTACACAAACCCCCTGTATTTTTCTATTTTTATTAAAAACTTGTGTAGGTATGAAGGGCCATGTCAGTAGTAGTATGTTCCAAAAATGGAGTACAGTGTTTCATAATCTGGAACGGAGTACGTTATTTTTGCTACTACAAGAATAAAGATGAAAACTGTTGGCAAGTATTTAGACATCAATATCTGTCTCTATAGTTCTTTATACATTTGTCATGCAGAAAAGTATTGCATCACAAATGTATAAAGTATTTATTGGAGGGGAAACTCAGCCTGTATTATAGTTTCAATGCAACTGGCTTTCTTTTCAGTAAAATGGATGCCTGAATATTGTTCCCCTTGCCTTCCTGAAAACTTTAGTTTGCTGAATGTATTCATGCATGTTCTTCAGTTGTGATTGCTTAAAGCAGATAGAAAATATCCTTACATCGGTATCTAAAACTGAAGGTTAATTAATGCATTTAATCTGCACTGGTTAGCTGTTTAACAAAACACTTCTATTTGTTTAGGTTCGTCTGGAATGGCCTACAGATTTAGCTATCAACCCGATGGATAACTCCATTTACGTGTTGGATAACAACGTGGTTCTGCAGATCACGGAGAACCGCCAGGTGCGCATTGCCGCAGGGCGGCCGATGCACTGCCAGGTGCCGGGCGTGGAGTACGCGGTGGGCAAACACGCCGTCCAGACCACGCTGGAGTCAGCCACCGCCATCGCCGTGTCCTACAGCGGCGTGCTCTACATCACAGAAACTGACGAGAAAAAGATCAACAGGATAAGGCAGGTCACAACTGATGGAGAGATCTCTTTAGTTGCTGGAATACCCTCGGAGTGTGATTGCAAAAATGATGTTAACTGTGACTGCTACCAAAATGGAGATGGCTATGCTAAAGATGCCAAACTCAACGCCCCTTCCTCCTTAGCTGTGTCTCCAGATGGCACCCTGTATATTGCTGACCTGGGAAACATTAGGATACGTGCTGTGTCAAAGAACAAACCCTTAATGAATTCAATGAACTTCTATGAAGTTGCTTCCCCAACTGACCAAGAGCTGTATATTTTTGATGTCAATGGTACCCACCAGTACACTGTGAGTTTAGTCACTGGGGACTACCTGTACAACTTCAGCTACAGCAATGACAATGATATTACTGCCGTGACGGACAGCAACGGGAATACCCTTCGGATCAGGCGGGATCCCAACCGAATGCCAGTAAGAGTGGTCTCTCCTGATAACCAGGTCATCTGGCTGACCATAGGCACCAATGGGTGTTTGAAAAGCATGACTGCACAAGGGCAGGAGCTGGTCTTATTTACCTACCATGGCAACAGTGGACTTCTGGCAACTAAAAGCGATGAGACTGGATGGACCACTTTTTTTGAGTAAGTACATTAAAAAAAGTCAGATGCCTTATAGTTTTATTGAGTTCTAAGGACCATTTGAAATGTTTCTGGGTGAAGTAACTGTAAAGTTGACCCTTGATAGCAAAAAGCACAGAAAGATGCTTTTAATTTCCCATGCTGTCTTCCTCTGTCTTACTTGTCTGACTTCTTCTGAACATTGGGTCTGAATAATTTTGAATTCATTATTTTGAACTTCAGTTTTATATATTGAAATAATAGTGAGACAACATTTCACTCTTGTCAAGAAATTTGTAACTCAGACAACCATGGGTTTGTAGATTTGCATCAAAAACTAGATTTTCATCCCACTTGCTCATTAGATTGACATTCTTCTGCTGCAAATACTGACAAGAAATTTGTCTTCGCTGCTCAATTTTTTTTTTAAGCAATAGCATTTCTGCATGTTCTTTTGCCCAAGAATTACATCTGGGTGGGTTGTAAAAGGTTGTGTTTCACTGAGTGGAGGGTACAGAGGAAGGATCTGCTGGACACAGCAGGCTTTCACACAGGTGAACCCGGTTTGAGGAAGCTGAGAAAAGAAATGTGTGCCATGGGGGAACTGTCATTCCTGTAGGAATGTAGGAATAAACTGAAAACACAGAAGCCACCAGCACCATGTCATGTACAGGTGCTAGCACAACAGCAAGAGGTGTTACTGGAACAGTAGAACTTGCAATTTTACCAACCTCGGGAAAAATCTTTTCAGTGCATTGCTTTAGCCTGCGTTACACTCATTAAGTCATCAATGCCTGTTCATAGCAGACAGATTAGCAAAGCGTTTTACAGAATCCTCAATTCTATTGACTAAGGAAGATCATGACAATTTATAGATAAACTAGTGGAACCAGAGAATTCACATACATACAGGCTTTATCAGCAACTTCATCTCCAAATGATCTGAACTGCCAACTGAATACACTAAGCAAACATAACAAAAATACAGCTTAAAACAGAAACCATTATTTCAGAAAAAGTCAATGTAAAATTAACACAGATTTTTTTCAGTTGTCTCTGCCAGTTGGAAAAATGTGTATTTTTAACTCACAGGAAAGACATGATGAGGTTGGGTAAGAAGGTATGTATGAAGGAGTGGAAGATGTAGTATTAGTGTGATAAGTAAAACTGTTAAGAGGCCTCTAGTTGAACTATTCAGGATTACAAAGGGCATCATGAAAATTCAGCAAGTCCCTCTTCTTTTTATTTCCCCCTCTTCTTTTCTCGTATCTTTATGATGAAATGCAGTAGCAACTGCTGCCAAGGTCAGGGCTTAAAAAAAGCTTTCAATTCAACACACATGATAAAGAAAATAAAGTGCCAGTGTCAGGCAGTGGCAGCGAAGCCAAACATCTGTGTTCTGAGATAACTTCATATTTCTGTCAGTGTACATTTGGCTGAGGCAGTGTGCAGAAGGACTCTGAGCACCTGTATCTACTCTCCAGCCTTTACAGATGCCCATCAGAGACACAGGAGCAGCAGGTGCTGCTTCACTGCATATTGTGTCCTGAAGTGGAGACAGGGCTAGGAATGCTGATCCCTGACAAAGACAGCAGGTGGGATGGTACTGCTGCCAGTTTTAAGGTATTCTTACAATAATCTGTAAATTGGCAGGGCTTTGGTAGCGGGCACCTTCCCAAAGCATTAGCACACATCTGTAATATTTAATTGTGCTTTGGTGCATCCGCTGGGGATCTTTTTAGGTCCTGCCAAGAGGACACAGAAGCACAGCAAGGGTACACAGAGGAATGAGAAAGTGTTTGATTGGCAGGGCAAGTGTTCTCCTTCTATTGAGGTAGCCCTGTCCTGTATGCTGAGAGACCAAAGCACAGCATTAGGTGGGCTGGGAGTAGCCATCCATTTCCACAGAGAGTAAAGTCAGTGTTGAACTGTGACAGACACAGCCACTTGTTTCCCATAGGCAAGTTGGGCAAGGCAGTCAGTTTGGGGGACAGTGAAGTCCTGTACAGAAATGAAGACATCTGCTGGGTACAGCAGGCACTTTTAATCATGCTGACATTCATACTGGCTAATTGAGGACCTAGAGTTTTAATCAGGGCAGTAATTTCTCACCATGTTGGCTGTAGTTTCTGTGTATCCTGCTGTGGTGTACTGCAGTAGCTGGTGGCTCCTGAATGTATCTTAATGGTGTCTGCCTGATCACAAAAAAACTGCATATTATATTCACTGTTCAGTGGGTGATGGGTCTGTCGTTTTCATCATGGGGAGAATTTAGGGTGCTGTGTGTCATGAAGCACACTGCTATTTCCTGACTCTGCAAAGAGCCATCTTTCACACCTGATCTGCTTTCATGCAGACTTTCTGGTCTGAGTTAGGTTATGTCCAGCTGACTTACAGAGAGCCCAAAGGGCAGGCTATTCCCCTCAGTAACTATTAGGATTATTTGCAAGCTGCTGCTTATGCACTTCCTAAACAATTACCTCCAACCAATGTCTTGTTAGAATTCCCAAGCTGAAGTAATTATAGAGAAAGCTAGGCAATTTCACTCTCTCAAATTTGCAAGTGTATGAGGCTTTTGCAGAAGCAAAGATATTTATCACCTCCCTGTAGCCATGGTGAAGCAGTAATCTGTTTAATTGCAACAAGGAAGATTCAGATCAGACATTTGGAGGAACTTCACGGTGAAGATTTTGGAGCCCTGGAGCAGACAACAATGATAGTGACCCCTTGCCCTTCATAGACTGTCTTTAAAAACAGATCAGACATCTTTCAGGACCAATGCAGGAAGAACAGATCCTGCCCTGGGGTAGAGGTTGGACTGCATGACCTCTCAAGGTCCCTTCCAGTAATGTTTTCTGTGATGCTCTGTACAAGTTAAAACCAAAAATAAAAAATTGTACTGATTACGTAAAGCCACAGGGAATAAGGGGCAGGAGGAAGGCACTGTGTTACTTTTGTTGCCAAAACAGCATTCTTAAAAACATCCATCAGTCATCATAGCTGCTTGCTTCTTTTGAACATAAAATTCCCATGCACCAGATCTATATCTGTATATTTCTCTTTTGAAGGAAAAAATAATTGTGAACACAAGTCTTTTGCCATTTTTTATTATAGGATCAAGTATAATTGTGACTTGTTGGCGCTCATGATTTGTAGCATTAAATCTGACAGTGATGGACTTTGAGAGGTTTCTGCTACTATTGCCAAAAGAGATGGAGCCCGTGAATTATCACAGAAGAGTTTGTGTGGGGGTGACAGGATGTACAAGGGTGTCTCTCTCTCAGCTTCTGCATATTCATGTTTGTGGGTAGTATGGGCTAAAACATTTCCACGTGAAATGTTTTCTCTGGAAAAAAACGAAGCCTTGTTAAAATGGAAAGGTATCCCTCAAACATCGAGTGAGGAATAAGAAATTCTGAAAATAAATAATTCTGGCTTCATAGCATAATATTTCAACATCATTGCTGAATGCATTTTCTTTTAATATCACAGTTAATTTATGTATTTTATTTACTGTGTTACTCAAATTTTCAAAATATTTTGAGAAAAGGATAGAATTTCTATTCCATGGTGAATCCAGACTTTCTTCCCACTCACAGCTAAAAATGTTCAAATGTTTGAATGTCCAATGGACCAGAAATGGCTTTTATCAACTAGTTTGGAGTATAGCTGGGTTTTCTCACCTTTCAGTTGTCACAAATCCGTTTAAGTGGCTGAAGGAAAAATACAGTGCATTTAGTAATAAAAAGTTCAGCCTTGGGAGCAACTCAGGAATAGCTTGGTTAACTATTCTTCTGTGCAAGTCTGGTTGTATAAGTGGAGCATGGATCCAAATAACTTATTTCAGCTGGGTTCTCAGTGGTTTGAAAGCAGGTTTATGAAAATGATTCAGTCTTTCTTTTTTCCTTTTCAGAACAAAGGGGAAATATTTGCAAAAACATTGCATCCCAAAAATTGGCAGTCACTGCTCTGGCTCATACTAAAACATTTGGTCTTGTTTCTTTTCATGGCTTTTTTCCACAGTTTAAATCACACTAATATCAGATCCAGGAAAAATTTACTTTTTTTTTTTTTTTTAGCCTGGACACTAATTAAGCTATAGTTTATTTATTTAGTCTCTTCTTTCCCTGAAGAAGGGAAGGACTGACACACAATAAATGGTTTTTTTACAGTCTTTTTTGTTTTTACAGTGAAATTGTAAGTACTAGCTTGAATTACTTAGGATATAATACAATCTGTTTTCTTTGTTTACAGACTTGGGGGATTTTTAATATCTTTATGGCAAAATGGACTTGAAAATTTCTGTTTTGCTAAGGGTTATAGTGTACTGATCAAAACTGACACCTTAAATTTCAGGAATGTGTACTTTTTTCAAAGCACTGTTGCTCAAATTCATAGTAACTGTTACCTGTTTTCAGAGGTCCAAAAACTTGCTGAATAAAAATGATGTTAAGAGAGCATTTACAGAAATGATTGAAAATGCATGCATACTAAAAAAAAACCAATGGAGCCATATCAAGCTAAAAGTTGCCCAGATTAGGTTTTATAATGAAATTAAAGTATCAAACAAGGTATAAAAGTAATCAGCCTAATCAAATTCTCTTACAAAATTCTGAGATATCTGAGCTGGAAACTATTAACTGTAACTGCATATTATGTATGCATAATGTGAACATTTAAACAGCTAAATCTTAAAAGTTAAACTAATTATCTGCATATTAGCATTTTGGAAGTGACACTTCCTAGCTAGCCTATATGGCATTATTTCTATGCAGCAGTTTCCATTGTGATTTTACATACAGAAAGCTAAGCCAGGTGCTTACAGAAATACCAAAACAGCATTTTCTCTTGACCTAGGTTTTGAAATACCAGAAGCAAATGCCCAAGAAGCCTTGCAGGTGCCCTTGTGCAGTGTCCCAGCCGTGCCAGCCTGTGGCTGCTCTGTGCCCCTTGGGCTGTGTGAGGCGCTGGCAGGGGCTGCTGTGGCAGGGAGGGTCCCTGCAGGACGCAGGGCTGCAGTCTGT